TTAGCCGAGCATGGTGGTGCATGCCTGTAGTCCCAGCTACTCAGGAGGCTGAGGCAGGAGGATCACTTGAGCCCAGGAGTTTGAGGTTGCTGTGAGCTACGCTGACGCCACGGCACTCTAGCCTGGACAAGAGAGTGAGACTCTGTTTCAAAAAAAAAAAAAAAGAAGAGAAAGAAAGAGAAGAAGATATTTGAAAATCCGTCCTATCTAATTCTCTCCTTAACCAGAACTGGGAGCACGATGAACACTCAGATTCTTCCAACATGTATCAAAGTGCTGCTGTTGCCTGGCCGAACATGTAAACTGAAACAGCCGTCTCGTGCCAAACTCCAGCTCAACTGCCTGTAAGGTTTTAAGTGAGATGCACATATCATGCGTATACCCGAGACCAAACACGGTGACCACTTGGGAAGGCAAGAAACGAACACAGAGTGTCTACTGTGTGCCATATATTTCCAATCTCACCACAGTTTTACAAGATTGTTTCTGCTTTACAAATGAAGAAACTAAGATTTACCTAAGGTCACAGGATTTAAACCAGGGCTCCTATCTTCAAGTTCAGTGTCATTTCTTTTACCATCCCGCTCTTTGGGGAAAACACCCCAAAAGCCAAGGAGACTTTATCAATAGGTCAATTCCCCACTAAGTAAAGTGGCAACAAACCCAGGGCTTTTCACGGAGCTCGTGGGGAATAAAAGCAGAACCTAATGACAATTATTTTGATACAAGAGGACAGGAGAAGCAGGAAGTAGCTGCGGGGGAGGTGCTAAAAACAAAGCAGTTCCAGAACAAGTGAACATGAAAGCCTGGAATTCGGGGTCCGTGGTACGAGACAGACGAGAAGAGGACACGAAGGCAGAGCTGAAGGAGGCACCAGCCAGCCAGAGAGAAGATGGAAAACTGAGGCCTCCTTGGCTGGGCAACATCGGTTCTAGATGCTCAATCCCCCACTGGGGGCGGCCTCTCTGCCTCAAGCAAGCAGGGGAGACGTGTGCAGGGTTTGCTTGTCAAGGGTCTGTGGCTCCTTCTTTTGGAAAGAGTCACCTGGTTTTGGGGGAGCCTCTTCTCTCTGCTCGCAGACACGGGGTTGGGTGAGGTCCCTCCCGCCCCAGCACCAGCAGTAGTCACACCAGTCTAATCAGACCAGTCACAGAAGTCCATCCTCCAATCCCAGACAGACCAGTGAGACGTGTCCCAGGACTCTGCTGAAACCATCCAGCAGGGCTGACAGCCTGGCGCCGCTGGGAGCCATCCCACCCACCCAGAGAGCGCCGGCCGAGAAGGCCGCCTGGCAGTGGGAACAGGAGATGACGGCAAGGCCCTGACCTCGGGTCTAGCAGAGCCTGAGCCCCGACCTCCCTCCAGACTTTCCAGTTGCAACACAAGCCAACAAGTCCCCACTTCTGCTCAAGCAGTCATAGCTCAGATCCTGCCGTGGCCACACTAAGAGGCCAGGCCAGCATGAGGAGGCTCCACCCTACGCCTCCTGTCCGTCTGAATGGAGACCACAGACCGTGCTGTCAGAGCCTCTGGGCAGTCGACACGCTGGCCTTGAGTGCCAAAGCCTCCTAACTACCACGCTCCACCAGCACCAGCAAAGCACCACCGCACGACCACTGGGTCCTTCCGCCCCAGCTGTGCCGTCCGCCTGAAGACCAGGCACTTACCTGATACACGTGGAATGCATTCGCCGCTTTGCCCCGGAGAAACACCGAGGGGATCCAGACGTTGATGAGCGCCCGGTTTGATCTGACCAAAGAAAGAAATCAAAATTGGTCATTTTAACTTACAAAAAACCAAGAACAAAAACAGGAAACCGTTCTCTACTCTGACAGGCACTATGCACAAGCAATTTATGACAACATACAGCACAGCTGACAGTGAGCTAAAGACAAGTCTCATCGTTCAGTCCACACACACACACACACTTACCTATTATGCCCACATATGAATACACACACACACACACACACACACACACACACACACGCACATGCAGTTCATACTCTGGATGAGAAAGAGCGGCCCTTCAGTTCTTACTGAGTGACACTGGCCTATAATTTATCTGAACCTCAGTGTCCACATCTGGAAAAGGGGCTGCTAACTGGAAGCCCCAAGGAAGCTATGATGGGAGGCCACGTGAAGTGACACCCACAGTTCCTGGAGCACCCAGCGGTGTCACACTGCCTCCTCACTGTGCTGATTTTAGACCCCAACCCCTGCTTTAAGATCAGATCCAACGGAGCTCAGGAGAGCAGCACCCCCGGCTGTGAGAGCGGTAGCTGTCTGGGGTGGGAGGAGGGAAGGGCAACAGAAATCGGCAAGTTGGAAAACTAGGATGCCAGGCACAAATAACACTCTTTCAAATGGTCCAAAACCACTGTGTGCATGGATCTAATAAAGCGAGATTTAAATTCAAATACAACATAATTTAGTGAGTACCTACAATGTACGGGCTCCATGCTTTTATCTATATTAACTCATTTCATCCTTATATGGACTATTTAAAGTACTTTAAAGGGTTATTTTGGTTATATGACTATTTGGGCTTATGTGATTGTGAGGACTTAACTCTGAGGCACCGGGTACACGTACAAACACACACACACACACACCCCTTCGTCACATCCCCACCTGGCTGGATTCAAATCACAGAGCTAGGAAGCTGACTGTTGCTGAAACTTCAAGATCAGCCTTAGTAGTTACCACAACAGCACTGTGCCATTCTGGAAGGTCCTAGCCTTTGCCTCCGCTTAGAGCTGCTCCAGAGCTCTCCTTTCTAAAGAGCAGCTCATAAAAATCAGCCAGCTTCCTGCGCTTGGCGCATCATTTAAGACGCTGACAATGGAAGATTCCATGACTCAATGTTCTCACAACCCCTAGAGTAAAGAGCATTTTATTTTCACAAGGACAGTGACCCTCAGGTAATGGTTCTCTCTAGAAGCATTTCTTCTGTGCTCTGAGCTGAGGTGGTGACCTCCTTCAAGAGGTAAAATAAGCCCTATCGATCACTTCCCCAGGGTGCAAAGGACAAATTGCAATTCTGAGCCACCAAACCGGTCTGTGTATCTGATGACATTCCTCCTATACAGGTCCCTGGAGCTGTACTAGTGCCAACAGCACCTCCCCTTTCATCTGTCACCAGGGCAGGGGGAGGACAAAAGTATAACTGACACTCTTTTTGACTAACTTGCCTGGATTGGTGAGGACCAGACAACCGCCCGGTGCTACCATGAGTTTACCTGCGACTGAGATGGGCATTTCTCCCTTTCAGTACATTCACCACGCGGTACTAAAAGTGATTGTTTATGACCAGGCGCGGTGGCTCACACCTGTAATTCCAGCACTTTGGGTCTGAATCCTCTGTCGTCTGTGGGGTGGCTGGCGTGAGGACTGAGTGAATCAGTACAGCGCCCAGTAGAGCACCCCAGAGGGGTGCTGAGTACGTGTGAGCTGGGTGAGCAAAATAACAGTCCTGAGGGGAAAGACCGAGCAGTCAGAGGAGTAGAACAGGCCGGGGAGGGGGCTGGCGTGCAGGGAGGGGAGAGCGCCGGGCTGGGGCTGAAGCCAGAGGTCAGCGAGGGCCTTCTCTGTAAGTTCCGTGAAGGAGTTTGGACTCTATCTGGAGAGAGTACCGTGGTGCCATGATTTCCCTGTGGCTTTAGTGTGGATGAGCAAACTGGCAGGAGTAGGGTCCGAGTCTCTGGGGAGAAAGGATGTGTCCTGACCAGGCAGAGGTGCTTAAGGGCAGGGACTGTGGCTTATTCATCCCCTCCATCGAGAGCCTGGCAGGACACCTGCCCATAGCAGGTGCTTGGTGAACTCCTGGTTTAATGGCACATCACTCCCGCCTCACCACTGACTAGTCTCTGGGCTCCCCTCCGCAGCTCTCACCTCTCCCCCTGGTTTCTCCCCACCAGGCTGCCGTCCTAGCAGCCGCCTCGTGCTGCACTCCCCCCGCCCACAAGCCCAGCAGTGAGGACACCCAGGCCCAGTGGGGTTAGGCGGCTTGACTGGTGCCTGAGATTCTCACGCAGGGGGGCCTGGCTCCAAAAACACGCTCTCTCTAGTGCCGGCCCCGCCTGCCCGCTCCAGAAGCAGCTTCTCTGGATGGGCCCTTCTCCCAGGGAGGCTGAACCTTCTTCCACTCACCACAACTGAATGAGAGATGGAGATTCTGCCTGGCCTTTAACCCAGAACTCACCCTGCTTTCTTTGCCAGCCTGAAGGGACTGTTTGTCCAAAAACTAAGGCACCCGAATAAGAAGAGTCTGATGACCAAGTAACTTCCTCTGGGGTTATCAGCAGAGGCACCGAGAGAACCTAACCCTATCAAACCCAGGCCAACGCACTGACTACTGTTGTTCCAATAACCCAGCGACCACAGATAACCAATGAGTGACGTGGGCCAGAGTCGGACACTAGGGACAAGTGGGGACTACGGTAACCTCAAGAGCACATGCCCTGTGTGCAGGGGCAGCTGCTGCTCAGCTCCAGCTGACTGTGGCCTTACATTGGTGAGTGTCTAATTTAAAAAAAAAAAAAGAAAAAGAAATTGAAATTTTTATGTCGTATCTTTCAACTTTTAAATGTCAACCAAAAAAATGTTTTTAAATACCCAAAGGGGACATAAAACATGTCTGAAGGCCAGACTCGGGCTGCAGAAGCACAAGTCCCCTCCTGTACAATAACCAGATCAACCCTGTGTAGATTTCGACAGCGATTTCTGTATCCCCCTGTGGTCTTCTGGGACACAGCCAACAGAGCCCTATTTCCAAAGGACCCTCAGGAGCAAACACCACGGACTTACATTTCAAAATCCGACAAACTCTGGTCTTCAGATGTTTGACTCAAATCTCCAGGCACCTACCGTCAGGAGAAGAGGGGAGAAAAAATGCATAACGGTTACCAAGGTTTGCATAATCACGGAAGAATTCTGCCTCTCAACGATCCCGGAACATCTCCTGATAAGGACGAGGTGAAAAAGCCGTCACTAGAAAACGACAAGATTTTGTGGAGGGGTGGCTGGAGATGATGCTGCAGTAATGAAAACATGCCACCACGAGAGATCTCAATTATCTTTACGGAAAAAGGACCGTTAATCCTATTGAGATAATCACAGGCATGTAAAAGCATGTAATTTGGGAGCTATAAAGGCCTAATTAGGATCTCAGACACCAGATATCAGATGCACAACGGAAAAAACATCCATTGTCACTGTGACGAACAGCACACACACAGACACACCCAGTAAATAAACACAAAAGGCCAATGTCTAGCCCCAAAATGATTCCATCCTCTCCCCCTTACAATGTATGAGCAATTTTAGGCAGCAGAATGTGACTTATCCTTCTGACTCAGAAGGGCTACAAGAGAAGATGATTCGGGGAGAGAAACTAACTGCACAGCACGATGGTCCCTCCCCAGCACTGCTTAGGGGCCCTGCACCCTGTGGAGGTGAGCTGAGGGCCAGCAGGTGTTCCATGGCGCATGTGACCTCAGTAAGTCCCCCACCCTCAGCTCCCCCTCAGATAGGGAAATCGATTCTCAGGCCTGTTGCAAGGATTTGCACTTATTATGTAAAGCAGATAACAAAATGCCCAGCAGTGGTGGATGCTCAATAAATGTTGATATTATTCTCATACCCAGGGAATGAGCTTCCTTTTTTGATCCGGTAGAAGCTGAATTGGCTGGAATTTTAACAGCGTAGAGCAGGACTAAGAGGAACCAAGTGCAACAGAGAAGGGCGTGGAATAGTGATGGAGAAAGAGAGGACGCCGATTTCACACCTTTCACCTATCAGAGCCTTCACATCCGTGACCTTCACAACAACCCCAAGGGAGGTATTATTTTCCTCGCCTCATAAATGGGGACACTGAGACTCAGGGAGGCTGTATAACTCGCCGAGCTCACATCTAGGTAGCAGATCTGTCCAACTTCAAAGGCTTTTCTGCTACGAACCCTCAGCAAACAGAAGAAAACCCAGCTAAAAGGTGAACAAGGAAGTAAGACTTCAACAAGTTCTGCCTGTACAGGGGGTCAGAAGACACTAGAAGGCTCTCCTTAAAGAAACAGTGGGTTCCGGCTTTGGGGACAGAATGCAGGGGTTATGAAGCCTGGGCTCTAGGTCCATGCAGCTCAGGATCAAATCCCAGCCCTACTCTTCTTGACTGTGTGGCCACGAGCAAATCACTTCTCTGTGTTACACTGTTGTCATCTGTAAAATGGGTATAATAGAAGATAAAATGAGTTAATATCCATATAGTGTGCTGAACAGTGCCTGGCATGTAGAAAGATCTCAATAACTGACAGTGCACCATGACAATAATACGACAATTACTGAGAACTAAAAGCCGTGTGTTCTGTTATCCTTGACCCTAGACACAGAATCTGCCCTGCCAACCCAAGGGGTGCCTCTCACCCCATGCATGGCAGTCTGGAGGGAGAAGGACCCACGCTGAGTCCTTTATAAATATCCGGAGCTAAGCGATTAAACCTGGCTCCGGGCAGCAGATGATCCTAAAAAGGCACCATGGAGAGGCTCCTTCAAACCCAGTAAGGAGAAACCTGCCTTGCCACTTGGAAGAACTTCAATTTCCCAGGACCTAAAGCCTCACTGGTTCGGGAACTCGCTGGGCTGGGGGTTGGTGTCACTCTGCTGCTGTGGTGGCTGCCACTTTCCTATGGGTAGCGGGGAGGAGACTTGGTCTATTAGGAAGCCATGAGGCTGGATGTACCCAGACCCCTAAAAACATCCACATCCTGTGACCCGTGAGTCCACTGCCAAAATGTACCTAGAGGAAACAATGGAAGACACCAAGATTTACATCACAAATTGTTCCTCTTTCCATTCCTTAGAAAAGTGGGGGAAAAAACTACAAACAAAAAAGGTCTAACTATAGAGTATGCTTCAAGAAATTATGGCATGTCCATATGAGATAACTGGGTGAAAACACTTTCTAAATAGGTTTTGCATGGGGGAGGTGTGTGCGTGCGTGCATGCATATTCACGAGGGCACAAGTCTAAAACTTCTGGAAAAATATGTAATAAAAGTCATAGTGGTGATCATTAATAAGAGATTAGGAGTGGGATTGGGGGAAAGATGCTTATTTTTCATTTTCTATCTCTCTGTAAGATAAAAAAAAAAATGTATCTTTCAATTGCTTAAAATTTAAATGGGCTTTAGAAGAATGAGATAGCTTTCTATGTGCTGTTAGGAAAAGCTCTCCAGGATAGATTAAGTGAAACCAGAAGCAGGGTATAGATACAGTAGGTCTAATACTTTACCTTGGGCACAAAAATGGAAAATTAAGCCTGTTAGTTGTATTCGTTTGTTTTTGCATCAAGAAGCTGTAGAAGGGAAATTCAAGACGCCAATAAAAGGGGCACCATGGCGGGTGCAGGCTATTCACACAGCACCGGGAGTGAGGCTAGACACTGAACACCCTTTTATATCATTTGAGTTTTGAAATAAATTAATGTACTACCAATTAATAATTTAAATACAAATGTATTATCCCCGCAAATGAGTGTTTCTGGTAAATTTTTAATGGCCTAGGAAAAAAGCTCTGATCTGTGTTTAATCAGAAGCAGTTAGGCACTGCCCAGCGTGATTCCTGATGTAACTCACAACGTCTGTGTGTCAGTAAGACTAGAATGAAATGCATCCAAAAGGTTACAGTGGGGTATTTCCGAGAGAGAAGTCACATGATTTTGAACTTTTCTGTGCTCGCTACAATGGAGACGTATTAATTGCATAACCAGAAGCAGATACATGTTTTAATTTAAGTGTGTATCATCAGGTAGTACAATATTCTTTCCACCTGCTCCGCCTCCATGCACTTCCCTAGAAGGCAGAGAGCCCAATGGCAGAGACTTTGCCTTCAAACTCCTTTACGCATCCTGGATGGAAAAGGGCAACGGAAGGGCCCTGAAGCCAGGCTACCTTCCTGACGACATCCACTTTAGTGGGAACAGCCACGACTCCAGCACCTTCTCTGGCAGGGACTATAGGGCAGCCGTTGGCCACTCCTCTTCCCTGAGTTTCCCCCCTCAGCACCTGAGCCTGGGGAAGGTTCTTCTGGGCACGGTGTGGGGACCAAGTAAACAGACTGCAGGAGGGACTCACGGCCGTCAGGACACCAGCTCCACTGCTACGCACACTCACCACCTCCTCTGAACGCAGCTTCATTTCTAAGCGGAAGCGAATGGAGTTTGTACCCAGAGAACCTTGTTCACGAGAGCTTCTGACTACCCCGAAAAGCACCAAAGGACAACCAAAAGGACGGAAGGAAAAGACAGAGTGGGGTTTTTAAGGACAGACGTCACTTTACAATTACAAGAAAACATTTTGAAGCTTCTTCAAAGACAATCGATTCTTGGAACAAGGTATTCTCTTGACACTAAGTTCCCCTCAGGGATGCTGATTTTTAGGGAACGTTTTGGCCGATGGATGTAAGTATCTGGCAGTTGTTAAATCCTCCTGACTTAGAGGCTTTTCTTCTAATTATGTGGCCTTATTGGGATCAGCAAACCAGTATTTACATGTCTACATGAGTACCAGGGAGGCTGGGTTAGAAAAATCATCTGGAAACTTTCTAACCTCTGTGGAATGTATCTTGATAACAAGGCCAGGCTCTATAGCAACTGCATAATGATAATGAAAGGCAGAGCTTATCAAACATCTCAAAATTTTGTCTTTTCGCGCTGTCTTCCCAGGCTGGTGCTAGGTATCAGCTGGGCTTTACAGCAATCCTCCAGAAAGCCAATTTGATTTTATATTCTAGCAATAAAAGAAGTGTGGGGCAGAGATTATTTTCTAAGAAAAATCAACTTTCTGTTGGTACTGGCTGCAAACATCCCCTGTGACCTCCTGGAGTCTGGGCAGTCTTGGAGGACACATCTCTAAGATGCAGCCTTCTCTTTGGTTCATCCGCAACACGAGGCATAAATAAGTGATCAGCAGCATGGTTATCTTCCTTTGCCTTTCCCTGACCCTGCAGAGAAGGCAGCTCGCCATCTGCCTGTGGTATGGGCAGTCACATGGCCACATTCAGGTGCAGGGAAAGGCAGAGTCTCTTACTAGAGCAGCCAGCACTCCCAGATGCTCCTGGAGCAAACACCCCTGGTGCTGCAAACACAAGATGTGGAGTGACAAATGAGACCCATGGAGAATGTGCTTCTGGACTGCACCAGCCAAGAAGTTTCCACGATCTGTCCTGACTTGGATTTCCTGGGTTGCTTGTTGGGTGGGGGGCAGGGAGAGGCCAACGGCAGCAGCTCTGACCCCAACGCCAGTGTGGGACTCTGACACTGGCCACCCTGCCACTCTGATTGGCAAGTTCTCAAACAAGGAAGATACTAGAGGTTGTGCCAAAAAGAATAACAAATATCCACTATGTGCTAAATAAATGTTTATTTAAATAAAAAAGAGAGAGAAAGAGAAAGAGAGACAAAATCAGCCCATTTGACAAAGCCAAGGGAAAAAAGCATATCTCCTTCCATTGGCAGAATCAGGATGCAGGCAGGGGGTGGCACAGATGGACAGGGAACCCTCCCCTCCTTGGACATGCCCTCACTTCTAGTCCTGAAAAGCATGTAAGGACGACACCACCACCAGGCATCAAAGGCTTCCTACTTTGCAAAGCTCTTTCACATAATAACTTTTCCCACATCTTCCCCTCAATAGCCCTGCAGGCAGAGGTGTCATCCCCATGTCACAGGAGAGGACAAGAGGGCTGAGAGTGAATAAACAGAGGAAGCAGAGCTGCCAGGAGCCCAACCCAATTCTCCTAGCCCACTCAGCAGCCTCTCATTCAGCGTGACTTCAGGTACTCAGTTTTCTCCAGACAGAGAAGCCACATGA